TTTCCCAACCGCTACCTGCCTCGGCAAACATCGCTTGCCGTGGCAACCTATCTGGTGACATGCGTAGCACATATCCCAACCAGCGTAATCCATGAAGGTCGACTACTTTCTCCAGTGGGCGACCTCGATTCCCTAAAACTACGCCTAACCTCAGCATTACTCGTCCGGTTTCTCCACCAAACTCGTGCAATGTTACGTAGACAGCGGTGTTCGAGCACCGACAATCTATTGTTATCCTGTTCCCGTAATTGCCAAGTCTCTGCACGGTAAAGCAGCACTAGCCGAACTGCTGAAGCATGTACTTGACACTTCACAAACAGCCGGATGTCGCGACGGCGCTACTGATGTCTCAAGCTGGCAAATGCCTACCAAGCCTGTTGTATACGTGCCGACACTTCATCTGTGATGCGTCCGCCAGGTGGGACATAGCTGCCCAGTTAGTAAAATTCATTTACCTTCTCCATTACTTCCCAACCAGGGTGAGTTTGGGGTATTTTGGACGACATTGGTGGGAAACCGAACAGTCTAAGGCAAGTCTGGCTGCGAACTGACGGAGTCCAGACAATAGTTCAACTTACGGTAACGGTAATGGTGAACTAAGACAAAGACAATGAACCGACCGCAGTTGCGTTCTTGTTATCATTTATTATCAGGCCAGAATGCTTGAAAACGTATGCAGGCATTATTCGATTGCGTGTTGTGATGACTATAGCGGTCCACTTTCTTTCTGGCTTCCTCAAAATAGGCTCTGCCCCCGTTCACCTTATGTATTCTCACTAATTTTTGTACGCATTGTGTTTATGGCAGCCAAATTGAGACATCTGTCGCACCTTGCGACATCCGGCTGTCGGTGAAGGATCGTGTGTATAGTGTGGCAGTTCGGCCAATTCTGCTATACGGTGCACAAACTTTGCCACTACGGGAACATAAAGAAAATAAACTGTCGGTGTTTGAACACCGCTGTGTACGCTACATGGCACGAATCTGGTGAAGCAACCGGACGGGCAATGTTGAGGTTAGGCGCAGAGTGCTGGGTAAACGTAGTCGCCCACTGTAACGAGTGGTTAACGTTACGTTGGTTGGAACATGTCTTACGCATGTCGCCAAATAGGTTGCCACCGTGAGTGATGTTTGCTGAGGCAGGTAGTGGGTGGAGAAAAACCAACGGTGATCAAAATAAGACCCGGCACAAGGGTATGAAGACTCTAATCAACAGATTGGGTCATTTAATTGCCGCTTAGCCCCCGGATGGGGACTTGGGTATCATTGTAATCAATGGTTAGATACACTGAATAGTATGGCTGAGTGTCGCAAACAGTGGCGTTTGTGTATCTCGCTTTCTTCGCAACCTCAGTCTACTGAAATTTTCCATTTTTCTTCGACTGTTGTCGTCTTTTCTGTCTTTCTCCCATTTCTCCATCCAAATAAGCAGGAAAAAGACAGCAACTGAAACCAACGCCCAAAGTGCCCGGTTAATAGTTGTACAAACCGGAAAAATGACTATAATTAGCGACGCTAGCTTCACTATCTTTCGTTGCAAAATGACGGACAGACTGATAATTAATCAGCTGTTCTGCTGATAAGTGTATCAAGGATCTCGAGGTTGCTGAATATCCATCTCTCGACGAACGGTTGTTCTGCAGATGCGCGCTTTGGTTTTAGGGCCTATTTTACACCGGTTCGACAGTGACTTGTGTTTACACAAAGCATTTTAGCTTTACATACACACGTGGTTTCAATCCCTGGTATAGCCGCTTGCTGCCATAAAGGAGCCAAGGTACTTGAAGATTGACACTGTTTCTGCTACTAACCCTTTAATTAAAACGGCGGTTTATAATTTATTGACCGCAGTTGAAAGACTAAGTTTTCGGCATGTTGATTTCTAATGCTGCTACTTTATTGATACATTGGTGCGCTGTGGGTCCACTGCAAAGTTAGGACCGTTAATCCACAGGCTTGAACCAAGCTGCATTCCACGGTAGTCTTCAATGACCCGTTCCATTACACTGTCGACGTAATTGAATATATATTCATACGAGCGGATCTCCTCGTCAAACTCCACTTTTCATTTCGAATTTAACTGTTTCTTCCATATATCCTGGGATTCTCGCTCGAAATGATGAGTATTATTGCATTTGGCTAGGGATTTTGGTTGGTATTCCGTCAGTATGTACTATAGGCCATAGATAACCTGTGTCAGAGTCCAAGCCGGTTCAGAATTCGCTGACACAAGCTGCAGTTGCCTGCTAGAGTTTGCGACGGTGTTCCAGAATCCTTCTCAAGGTTAACATTGGGATCACACAACATGTTTCGCTGCTGAAGCCACTAATTTGTTTGATTACTAGTATCTACTCATTTCATTGGGCGGACGAGTCACGAATGAAGTTTCGGTTGCTGTTTACCAACCGGACACATTTATTGTACCGCCTCGACATTTTTTATGAAGGGTCACCTATATGCTGGAGCCGACCGACCGACCGGTTTCCTATATGGCGCATGGACATCGCCGTTCCTGAAGGAGGCTGAACACAATTAATCGCTTTTTGAACGTCATTATCTACACCG